GAACCCATCTCTAAGAAAAATGGTTCACCGCACCAATTATCAAACAAAAAACTAATAGAGTTACCATTACAAAGAATCCAAGAAGAGTTATCACAAATGAACGGAATCATAATTTTGATACAAGACCAAATCGATGAGAATATATGAGTCTTGATGAAATGATTATTCAACCAAACCCGACTTCTAAGAAGCGGAGCCCATTGTTCTTAAGAATTAATAAAATCCCAACCAAGCTTAATATTAGATGCCTCATTCAAAGCAACCAAGGATCTAAGCCCAATACCACCTTCCGAAACTGGTCTACAAATATTCTTCTAGGCTACCGTAACAATTTTACACTTCAACATATTCCCACTCTATATACAATTTTAAGCAGCTCTTTTAATACTTCTAACCAAAGAAACCGGCCACGCATAGGTGGACATGGAGTGAATAAGCATTTCTTGAATTGAGGTTTTGACCAACTCGACACGACCAACAAACGAAAAAAGGGAACCTTTCAAAGAAGCAAACTTAAGGATAATCTTATTTGCAATCGGTTGAAGATGTTTTGCCTTAGGTGTTCCTTTGAACAAAGGCCACCAAGACAAATAAAAGATTCAGAACCAATGCCAAAAACCATGATTGACGAGAGAATATTGAGGTGAGCAATGAAATTAAATCAATAAGATCCTTCCAAAGCTTTCTCCTCTTGTACATATTATTAGACGCATAAATTGTTGCAGTAGCCAACATCTTGTAATCTGAAACAAAAGAAAAATCACAAATTGATCATAGGAATCATTAATATTTGAGACTATATCACACTTGCAAAAACACCACAAAGAATTAGTGAAAGCAAAAAACTTAAATCCAAGTTTAAGAAACCAATTTTCTGAAATTTTGTCGAACAAAGTTTTTGATTCAGCAATGATCAGAAAATCCAGTTTATGAACTTTTAACAATCTTTTAGGAGCTAATCTCGATGGGGGATTAACTATTCCCTTATACTCCAACAAAAAGTCGTCACAAAGAAGGCTTTTTGGGCCCTACTTGAGACCTTGTCCCATATTTCTATTTTGGATTCGAATGTGTTTGTTTCTTCTTCAGTTTAAAATTGCAGCAGAAAAAACCCCTTTTCCATTATTGTGCATAATAGTTTGAGAGTTCCCTTATCAAGGGCAACTTAGGAATTTCTTAAAAAAGTTGTATCATTCAACACAAATTGTCAATATCATAAGCAAATTGAACAATTTGCCGGTCTTCCACTGTTGCAGCCACAAAATCCAATGAAGAATCTGACTCCACAAAAGAATGAGACACAAATTTGCGAAGAGCTCAAGGAACCTCTAAAAGAACAAGCCGGTCATTTTCCGAAACCACAACAGGTATTTCTACCTTATCAACATCAGTGACATCTTTGACCACCACTACATTTATTTTATCAATGTTCTCTTTCTGCACAAAGGAAGAATTGTGCAGAGGTTTATTTAGGACTTTGCAATTCTTCACACAGTGTCCCACTTCCCTGCAACGTGAACAAAATTTCGACATATTTTCGTATTTAATATCTGCAAAAAAAATTCAAATCCCTATCTCTCAACCAACACATTGTATTTAAGGGGCTAAGCGATATTTAAATCAACAAGAACTCTAACAAATAGCCCAAAGATACGATCAATTTTAGACTTAGATACAGATACGTCGATACAACACTAAATAGAAAGCAAAATGGTAATTGAAGTAGCATATTTTTTTGTTTTTAATTTATAATTAAAAGAATTAAACATATTACAACAAATTTGAGTTTGTCGCTTTATATATATATATATATATATATATATATATATATATATATATATATATATATATATATATATATATATATATATATTCTTTCATATTCTATTTAATTTCACATGGCAACGGATGACTATTACCTCGCATAAATTTAAATTTGAATTCTTAAATAATTTATATTCTCTATTCAAATCTTTAATAGAGATAAAGAATTAAAACTTAATTACAACTCACTCTACCATCATTATTTATTTAAATATAAATATTTATTCTTTTCTAAAATTAAATTAAATTATAAATAATAAAATTAAATAATTTCAAAAGACTCAATACATACATTTAAATTATTTAAATAATAAATATAAATTAAAATATAAAAATATTAACCATATATTTAATATTATAAATTATTAAAATTAAATTATAAAATATATAATAAAATAAATGGAATACAGTTTTGAATGGAATATAATTTTGAACATGCATTTATTTGCGATTATCATAAAAATAGAAAGTTGAAAAAAGAAAAAATATTAAAAATGATAGTAAATTTAAATTTAAATAATAATACATATAGAAGAAGAAATGTAAACAACAATATTATGAATAATATGATTAAAAATAAAAATGACTCAAATTTGTATCAAATAAGTCAATTTTTAAATATTTTTTATAAATAAAATAATTATTTTATAAGAAAAAATATAACTTTAAAATCTATACTCAATTTTTTATTAGATTTCTGTAATTTTTCACATATTTAAAAAATATTGATAAATTTTTATTAATTAATATTTGAATTAATAGTTTTTCTTCTTTTATATAAATTTTACTATATAAAAAAATAATATTTATTAAAATTTTATTAATTTACTACATAATTTGATCAATTATTTTATTTTTCCTATTTTCCTCTACGAAAATATAATTATTATAATATAAAAATATTATTCATATTTATTAAATAAATCAAGTTGATCTTAGAAAGCTTTTTGTTTAATTGGATAAATTTTAGTAACGACCTTTAAAAGAACTCTTGAATTTTTATATTTAATTAAAATAATCACTAGGAGTAGTATGATTTGACAGGAGTCAGTCATAATTAAACCATACATCATAGTGAAGCCTAATCGAGCTTAATAATTAGCCGTGATTGAGTTGAATTTCGCAACTTAAATAGAAAAGCAATTTGTTATTACATACATTACTAGTTTATAAAAAGATATTTTATGTTTACTAAAACATTTAAAATTTTGTATCTTCTTTTAAAATATATTTTACGAAAAGATTTAAAAACAATTTTGAAGGATGATTGTTTATAAAAAATGAGAGAAACTCAATTAAATATAATCTATATTTGATTTTATCTTATAAAATATAAAATTGTTATAATAAAAAGTTAAATAAAATAATTTTTTTCTTATAATTTGTATTTTATATAAAAAGATATTTTAAATGAATGTTATTTTCACTTTTTCAATCTTAAATTATTGTATTTTTATAAATTAATAGGGGAAAATCCATACAAATTTATAATAAAAAATATTTATCTTTTTAATTATAAATTATAAGAAAAAAACATTATTTTATTTTATTTTATTTAACTATTATATTCTAATAAATTATTTTTTCAAGGTAAAATTATATATATATATATATATATATATATATATATATATATATATATATATATATATATATATATATATATATATATATATATATATATATATATATATATATATATATATATATATATACACATGTCATAATGAGAATTTTATTTTTATATAAAAATAATAAAAATAATTATTAATTTTTAAATTAAAAATAAATAATTGAAATTTAAAAAATTATTTAAATTTTTTTTATGTGTTGGTTATGAATAGTTCTTTCATCATTATTTATTTAACCTTTCATCTTATTCAAATAGTTCTTTTCCCAATTAAAGGAGTGAATTATATCTCATAAATATAAAATCTTTTTATTATTACTTCCAATTTCAGTTTAATTCAATTTACATTATTTCTTCCCAATTAAAGGAGTCAATTTTTCTTAATTTATTCTAAATAATAGTTTTTAATTAAATAAAAATACCAATTAACTATTAAATTAAATTAAATTATTAAAAAAAATTATTTATTTATTTTTCATTTTCATTCGCGAAGTTAGTAAAACTCTATAAACATAGTACTCATTACGGAAACTATATCATTCGCTTTCCCACACATCTCTTTCTCTAAGGGTCTGTTTGGTTCAAATGAGGGGGAGGGGAGGGGAGGGATTTTAATGAAGGGGAGGGGAGGGGAGGGGAGGTGAAGGAATTTTTTAATCAAATACGTGTTTGGTTCAAAAGAGAGGAGGGGAGGGGAGGGGAGGGATTTTAATTAAAAATGTGTTTGGTTCAGAAGGGGAGGGGAGGGGTTTTATTAATAATTTACATTTTTATCCTTATGATCTTATATAAGTCATATGATATTAAAATGTGAAAAATTCGTGCGTATTTTTGTTGGTAATAAAATTTATAATATTGAGTGATTAAAAAAATACTTATTTGTCACATAAAGTTAAAAAAATTGAGTACAATCGATTCGACTTATAACTTTCCAACATAAATTAAACTATATGTCAATAACATTGTTTAAATTGTGATGAATCATATAACAAAACAAATATATAAAATAACTTATTACTAAATATTAATGGTTCAAAATATTTAATAAAATGAATAAACAAAAATAAATAAAATGATATGGTTTACAATTTGATATAAAAGAAAATATGATAGAGTACATAACAAAATTAAAAGAAAAAAAAACGAATATAACGAAACATAATTTTTTTAATAAAAAAAGACAATGATTATGATTTATATTAATTACAAAAATTATAAAATAATTTGAAGGTGGAGAACAATTATAATAAGTTGATGAAAACAATCGAGAAAAAACAGTAACACAAAAGATAACAAATAGTTTTGAAATAATAAAATTAAACTGAGGATATTTTAGTAAATATAATAATTTGTTAATATCAAAAGTCATATTCCCTCCCCTCCCCTCCAAATCCCCCCAATTCGGAGGGAACCAAAAAGTGTGTTTTGGAGGGATTTTGCTCCCCTCCCCTCCCCTCCCCTCCCCTCCTAAATTTTGAACCAAACATATTTAATTAAAACTTTCCCCTCCCCTCCCCTCCATCTACCCCGAACCAAACACACCCTAATGGCTTCCTTAGTATCTTCAGGTTTAAGCGCAGAAGCTCCCGAATTTCTCCCCAGCAACCAACTGCATACACTTCACCCACCATCCCTCACTTTCGCTCCTCTCACACATCAACTCTCTTACCCTTTTTTCTATTACTACTATCCCGCTGCCACAAGACACCATTTTCATTCATCAACTTTCTTTTCCTTTCGCTTTCATACAAACCACCATCTCACCACCGCAACTCCTACTTTTCCACCGTCTATCCCTATGCAAAAAGAAGTAGCGGTTGAGGCGGCATCTGCAGAGGGTAATTATTCCAAACAGGTTTTAAGTGACGGACAAATGGAAGACCGTTGTTCTCACACATTGAGAATCCCAAGGACTGAGTGGAGGAGGAAGGGAGTAGATGTTTCTGAAAAAGAGAGTTCGAGAAAGAATCATCACAGTAAACATGAACTACACTCTAGGGCTTCCACCGAGCGGAAAAATAAAGAAAGTGCTTTTCCCGTGGTTCCCGTTCGTCCCGATGGAGATGAAACAACCGTAATGATTAAAAACATTCCTAGCAAATATACGTATGCTTCTATCTTTCTCGAAGCTTAATTCAGTTGTCTTTAGGACTTTCTTATATCAATAACATTAGTTGATGACTTACTTATTTTTGGTTTGCGGTGACAGTCGAGACATGATAGTGAAGTTCTTGGAGAACCATTGCATGGTTGAAAACGCCAAAGATCGAGAAAATGGAGAAGAAAACACTTACTCCTTTGATTTTGTCTACTTACCGATAGATTTCAGGTATGTCAACAACTTCCTTCTCTAGATAGAACTTTCATTGTTGATACAATAGTGACTAATAATGAAAATGAAACTACATGATTGCAGAACTGGGCTGAACAAAGGATATGCCTTTGTAAATTTCACTGAGGCTAGTGCAGCTTGGAGATTTGTTCAGACAGCATCCAATCAGAAATGGGAATTGTTCCTTTCCCATAAGATACGTGATGTGGTTGCCGCACGTCTTCAGGTAGGGTTTGCATACTAGACCTAATCATTATTTCTATATCTTTGCCCTAATTATTTTACAGTAATTCTATCGATTTTTTTTAATTTAATATTTCAATTTTGTTGATAATGTAGGGAAAGGATAAATTAGAGAAACACTTTGTAAGTGTAAATTTTCCCTGTGAGTCCGAGGAAGTTCTGCCTCTGTGCTTTAGTCCACCTCGGGATGGTGTAATCAAAGGAACCCAAAGGACACTGGGGAGGCTTCTCTACAAGCACAAGTAGTTCTTTTAAATATTTTTTTCTACCATTTCATGTGTTGTAGAATAGTTTAACGAAGACAAGATGGTGTTAATTAGGGTATGACTCGTTTGGTTAAGTATTTTGTTGTGTGTAAATGTTGATACCACGGAATAGTTGGGTGGAGCTTGGCCACTTTATCCCTTCCATGGGAGGGTTGTGTGGTGGGGTCCACCCTTCTTGTGGATACTTATCTAGCTAAGAGGGTTTGGTTCACTTCAATCTATTCTCTGCTGTTTGTGTTTGTAGTGAAATGAAATTGGATCTGATGTTTGATTGTAATTAGTAGGGTTTATAGCTTTTTTCCCTACTATACGAGAGTACTTGTCATGCTTAACTTGGGGGAATATAGCTATATAAAATTGTCTTTTTGTCTATATTCTTGTACTTTTTTTGATTATGTCGCTGATGTTTGTCCCGTCAGAACAAAGTTTACACAAATTTGTGATTCATTATTTGGTCAGCGCCTGAATATATGGCATATATATTATACTCCCTCGGGTACAATGATGATTACATTAATACAATTAATTTAAATATTGTTGTATTTTTAATCTGTATGTAAAAATTTAAAACGAAGAGGATAATGTTGGTTTATTTTATATAGATTACAAATAATAATAAATAAAAGAGAGTGATATTTTTACTTTAATGTTCAAATATCAAAAATGATAAAAATAATACTAGAATTGAAAAATGTGTATTAAAAATTGAAATAGAACATTATTTTAGAACTTTTTTATTTCAAATGAATCGTTCATTGCTGGACAGGAAGTAAAACAATACTATTTCGGTCTTAAATTATAAATCACGATATAATTACACGAAATAGCCAAAATGTTAGGATGTCATCTCATCTTATAATTTAGGACGGATGAAATACTATTATTGACAATATTATTATTTAACTCTTTAATGTGTATGCAAAAACATTAAAAGATATTCTTTTGTTTTAAAATAATTGTTATTTTCATTTTTTAATATATAAATGATTAATCCATCCGTTTCAAAATGAATCATTTCTTTAAAATAAAAAATATTTTAAAATTAATGACTTATTTTTAAATTTTTAATTATTAGAGTTTAAAGATAATGTACGGTAAGTGTAAAAAAATATTACACAGATATTCAATTAAATTATTTTTAAATATCAAATTATAATATTATTTTAAAAATAAAACTGTGATGTGACGAGATACGTAATATTACACAAATATTCAATTAAATTATTTTTAAATATCAAATCATAATATTATTTTAAAAATAAAACTGTGATGTGACGGGATACACGTATGTAATTGATTGACCATGTAAAAATATTTTATCCTATCAAAATATATTTTTTCTCTTTAGTTATTATTACTTTCATAACTTCAAATTCTTAATTATAGATATTTTAGTAAAATGGTGTTGCTAATCGGTGTTTATGGGATTATGAATAAGGAGTATTAAATTGTCCTCGATTACATTTAATTCTTTTTAAAAAGTTATAATTAAATATACTTAATTATTAATTATCTTAGATAAATTTAATGCATTCATTTTTTCTCTCATACAATACATATAATATATTTAGTTTTTCTCGGTTTCTACTGCTTGCTATGCATTATGCATTGTGTTGCTATACACTTTGTTTTTTTTTTTTAAGAATTCAATTTTGTTTGGTCAAAAGATTTATTTACCCTTTTGAAGCATTTCAGAATAATGGTTAGACAAACAAGTGTGTTACTCTATTGGAATTGGTCTGAAATGTTAAATATAATTTATTGTGATTTGATATGATTAGATTTGATATCATATGATTATATTTGATTTAAAATATTTCGGGCCTTTTATGTTTTGGGCTAGTGTAAACCTAAAACTATAAATAGTGAAGCAAAAATTCATCTTCCACATGTTTGTGGTGGTTTAAGTTGAATATTCTCCTTAAGATGACAACTTGTCTCTTTCTCTAAAACCAGTCAACAAACTTTGTTTTCACCCGTAGTAAGGGAAACTATGAATGCTCTGATTTCATCCTAGTCAGGATACGTAGGCACGAGATGCGATGTCTTGACGATCATACTTAGGAATAACACCTTAGGTATTCCTTTTCCTTTTCACGTTTAGCATTCAACTTAATAAATAACAAATTAAAACAAGAGGGTCTTGTAGAGTATTATAGATACTTAGGATGCTAGCACCTTCCCTAGGTATAACCAACCCCCGAACCTTAGATTCTCTTTTACTTTATTTTTTCATTTCATATTTATGGATTATTCGTCATTTTTCCTTTCCCTTGGATAAATTAAATATCGATGGTGAATTAAGATTTATGAAGTATAGTTAACTCAATATCTATGATCTTCGATTCTCACCACGACACTAAGGTATCTGAAATGAACTCTCAACAATGGCATTTTGTTTCCTGCAGTTGATGAAGGAAAATAATTCAAGTTAGTGGGATACACCGACTCAAGTTAGTGTAGTATTACTGATGATAGAAAATCTACATATGACTATGCGTTTATGCTAAGTGGTGCACCAGTTGCCCTGCGTTCGAGAAAGGGGCTAGTAGTGACATTGTCGTCGTGCGAAGAAAAGTACATAACTGCTTCTCTTTATCCATGTCAAGAAAAGTGGACGGTGAACCTGGTCGAAGAATCCAATAACACATGAACGAAACAAACACATCAAAATGAGGTGCCACTATCTTCGTGATCAGGTAGCAGAAGAAAAGATGAACTTTGAACACTATAGAACCGAGAATTAGATTACATATATCATGACAAAGAGAGTGCAGGTCGAAGTGTTCAGAAGACTAAGAGCTATGATGAATATAGATAACTTAGACACAATGGATTAAATGATGTGTTGAGAATGTAATTCCTTGTGTCGAAGCAGGTAGCGCTCGACGGAAATAAGGATGTGCCGAAATTAGCATAGTGTGTGTGTGTGTCGAAATGTCGAAGCAGGTTGCTCGACAGAATTTCGACTTAGGCCTAGTTTAGTAGTGTTTGATAAATTGGATATTTTTGGGCTTTTGCGTTTTGGACTTTGGATTAGGGAGCAAACTAACCTAAAACTATAAATATAAGGAGTTACCATTATTTTTGTAACAACTTGAATTCACATAATTTTGCAATTGTAAAGTGAATAATTTTTTTATAGTCTGTGGACAGAGAGTTACTCTGCAAAAATCACTATCTTTTTATACATTTTTTCAAACCCTAATTTTCTTTCTTCTACCATTTTTCATTCTTTTCATTGTTATTGTGTATCGATAATAATCTTGTTCATTAAGATTGATAGAAATTCTCTATAGGTTTTGGTGAATTTTCAACAATTATAACGTGAAACAGTCCGGTTTATTGGTCAGACTTTCTTATCTTTTTATTTCCTTTTTAATTTAATTATAATATTGATCTCCTTTTTATTTTTCTTAACAAAAGTTTTAAAAAATCAAGTTATCAAATAAAAATGAAATTATATTTTCATATTATTTTTAATATAAATTTTATCTTTTTAAAAAAAGTTTATGTTACTTAAAGAAAATGAAATTAAACTCTTAAATTATTTTTTTTTTTGAATCAAAAATATCATTAATCCAAAGTCAAGAACAAAACAAGGCGATCAAAATCCAGCCCAAAACAAAAAGACCTACTGAACCATCAAAAGAGCTATATGTGGTCTAAGTTTAGGGCTCGACCACCCTCTATAGAGACGCTAGCTTGTGACCCATGTGGGGGCAACAAGGTGATGGAACATGGCTAAGGCTTAACTGGTTGGTCTAGTGGTTGCACAATGTTGGCCTTGGCCTGCCCACTCCAAGTTGCGAGTTGATCCACGGGACTTGTGCGAAGGCATGGGTCTTGTGGGTCTTAGACAGGAGGGTACAGCGTGAGGCTGGTTTCACAAACTCTTAAATTATTATTTTGAAGTAAAAAGTCACATTACTTTACTAACTTTTTTATTTATATTTTTTTTATTTTCTATTATATCTTTTATTTTTAATTACTTATATTGAATATAATTTTATTTATATTTTATATTAGTTTCTTAGTTTATGATATTATTATATTATACAATTATTGTTTAAACTTTTGTTAATTTATGAATATCAACAAACTCTTATGTTTAGAAGTTAGAATTTCATTTAAGATTGTTATTTCACTTATTTGTGAATAAATTTTCAATTTTTTTTATAAATTTTATAGTTATGAAATTTATGTCAAAAATGTTATGCCTATTTTTTTAATTTGTATAATCCTAATCCTAATTAGAAGTCATGAGTGCGATCAATTACTCATTAATCCGATCAAGGTGACTTAACGGTTGACAGCCGTTTGAATTTTAAAACATTTTCTATGTTTCAAATTTAAAATATTTGGATTATTTCCATATTCTTACATGAAAAATTAGTAATGTATTAATTTTATTAATAATACATAACTTTTAATTTTATTATTCTACTAATTTTATAATAAGAGATTCAGTTGACTATTTTATATAAATTAAAAAAAATATTTTTATTAAAATATTCTTATCATATAATAAGAATGATAAAAGTAATATTCATTAAAAAAAATTAAAAAAAATTAAAAATAAAAATGAATAATTTATTTTACAAAAGTTCTCTTTTTTTTCTAAATTAGTAACTCATTATGGAATTGTGGGAACATTAAAATTTCACAAATTTTTATTTTATGATTTATTTCACCACCATTATTTAAAAGTAAACTTGTTTTCAAAATTTGAGTACAATAATATAAAATGAACTAAAACTATTTAAATAGGTTACTTAACATCGTGAATCACCTAAATTAAGAGAATAAAACTGTAATAAAATTTAATTTATAATAATATATTTAAATTTACAAAAATTAGTAAATTGAATTACAAATATTAATAATTTCTAATAATAATAATAATATATAAATAATATTTATATTTATTAAATAAAGAGAAAATAAAATATATTGATTTTACACCGTCAACCAACTACTATTATCTATTCCGTCAAATCACATTGTAAATTTTAAATGATTTAGAACATCTTTAGTGGGAGTATCTTAAGTCGGTAAACTAATATATTTTTTGTGGATTCAGAGTGATAAAATGCACTTCACAGATGATACACTGTGGTATCCATGATGTCAATGGAGTGTACCAAACTTGGATGACAGCTATCTATGCAATGAATCAACTAGAGCAAAGAAAGAAACTGTGGGAAGAACTGAAACATATCCATGACAATCAACAGGGTCCATGGTTCCTTATAGGCGATTTCAACAATGTTACCAAATCTATGGACAGAATTGGTGGTAACCTGGTGACTGACAGAGAGGTTGAAGATCTCAGAAATTTGATGAATCATGCTGGCTTGTATGAGAAGGATAGCACGGGCGACTATTTTACATGGACAAATAAACATTCTATAGGTACAATTTACTCAAAAATTGACCATGTTCTTGGTAATATAGATTGGCTGCAGGATAGTATGGATTTGAAGCTGAAAATTCTCCCTCCTAGTATCTCTAATCACTGCCTGTTAAGTTTGAATGCTGAGAAGATTAACAGAGGAGTGCACAAAAAATTCAGGTTTACTAATAGTGTGGTGCAAATACTTGAATATCATGACACTGTCAAACAGAGCTGGAATAAGAAAATCACAGGCAGACCTATGGCTAGACTGTGGTTTAAACTGCTGAGATTACAAGCTCCCCTTTGCAGATTGAGTAAACAAATTTCAAACCTCCATCAGACCATTGCCCAAGCAAGGAATGAATTATTACAAAACCAGGAAAGTCTCATTATGGATCGTATGAACACTGAGACTATTGAGAAAGTTAAAACATGTACTGATAATTTGATATAGCTTCAAGAATTTCAGGACCAAATGCTGAGACAGAGGACTAAGATTAATTGGCTTAGAGAAGGCGATACGAATTCATCATTCTTCTATGCTTATCTTAAATCCAGAACTACAACCACACATATCAGCCAGCTTTATAGAGAGGATGGTACTTGTATTCATAAACAGGAGGACATAGAAATGGAGGTATGTGAGTTTTATGGGAAACTGATGGGCACCAGGGAATCTAGAATTAATATGATAGATATTGAAGTCATGAGGGAAGGGCCTCAACTGTCAATGGAACAAAGAGCTGATCTAATTTCACCAATATCTGTTGCTGAAATCATTAATGCATTAAAAGGGATAGGAGACCTCAAGAGCCCAGGTATTGACGGTTACGGTGGAAAATTTTTCAAAGCAAGCTGGGACATTGTTGATAAGGATGTTATTGAAGCTGTTACAGAATTCTTTGAGCAGAATATAATTTATAAAGCTTTCAACGAAACTGCTGTTACTCTTATTCCCAAACAGTCGAACGCCAAAACCTTGAAAGATTACAGGCCTATTGCTGGTTGCACCACAATTTACAAAATCATATCCAAGATTCTCACAACCAGACTTGGGAAGGTTTTGGGCAACATCATCAGTAAAGTGCAGGCGGCATTTGTTCCAGGCCAGAAAATCCATTCTCACATCTTACTAGCTATGGAGCTGTTAAAAGGTTATAACAGGAATACAGGTACCCCTAGATGCATGATCCAATTAGATCTACAAAAAGCATATGACATGGTTGATTAGGGCGCTCTCGAAAATATTCTTAGTGAAGTTGGTTTACCTAAGAAATTTGTAGATTGGATTATGACCACTGTGACTACAGTTTCTTATCGCTTTAATATCAATGGCCAGTATACTGATAGGATCAATGCTAGAAGAGGAATTAGGCAGGGGGACCCATTATCTCCTCTCCTGTTTGTAATCATCATGGAATACCTCAGCAGGTTACTTCTCAAGATGCAAAGGAATCCAGAGTTTAACCACCATGCTAAATGTGAAAGGCTGCAAATAACTCACTTAACCTTTGCTGATGACCTTTTGTTGTTCTCTAGAGGTGATCATGTGTCTGTGGAAATACTTTATTCAACTTTGAACAAATTCCTGGATTCTACAGGTTTGAAAATAAACCCTTCCAAGAGCAGGGTGTATTTTGGTAATGTATCTGCGAGTGTCAAGTGCGGCATCCTCCATCTAACTTCATACAAAGAAGGGTCTTTCCCTTTTAGGTATCTTGGTATCCAGTTGACGAGTAAGCGTCTTGCTGTGATCCATTACATGCCGCTGTTGGACAGATTACTTAGCCGGATAACTCACTGGAGCTCTAGATTGTTGAGTTATGCAGGTAGGCTGCAACTCATCAAGAGTGTGCTCTATGCTATCACAACTTACTGGATGCAATGCATTTGGTTTCCAAAAACGGTGATCAACAAAATCAATGCTATATGTCGCTCCTTTATGTGGTCAGGTGGTAATAATATAAGCAGGAAAAGTCCAGTAGCGTGGGAAAATGTCTGTAAACCACATGTGCAAGGCGGACTAAATGTGATGAATTTGGAAGTGTGGAATAGTATGTTTGTGATAAAACTTCTCTGGAATATCTATGCAAAATCTGATGATTTGTGGGTGCGTTGGACACATGCTTACTACTTGAGACATGAAGGTATTCTGACTAGAATGGTTAAGGGATCTGACTCTGGAATTTTCAAAGTGATTCTAATACAAAGGGACAAGCTAATGACCATACAGAGTACATGGGATGCTATGCTGCAGATGGGTAAATTCCATGAGAGGAAAGTGTATCAAAGCCTCCTACCTATTACTCCTAATGTTCCATGGGCCAAATTAATCCTTCACAATAGAGCTAGACCCCGGGCAATTATTACTCTCTGGACGATCTGTCATGGAAAGTTAGCAACCAAGTCAAGACTGTTCAGATTTGGCATGATCAACAATAACAAATGTGCTTTTTGCAATGAAGAGGAAACCATTGATCACTTATTTTTTTTGTTGTGTGGAATTGAAGCAAATATGGAGTGGTATTCTTCAGTGGTTGGGCATTCAACACACTCCAGAAAGATGGCAAGAGGAAATGCAATGGGCTCTGAGCAATTATGGTGGGAAAGGCTGGCAATCTGATCTGGTTAGGCTTGCCCTTACTGAAACTCTTCATGAGATCTGGCTTTATAGAAACGAAGCCTGTTTTAATCATAGAACTGATAATAGGAATTGCCTTGATAGAATTATTTACAATATAATGTATAGAGGGTGGACTAGTCCAAAGCTTAGACCACATATAGCTAGGTTTATTTTGCCTTAAGGTAGTTTGATTGTTTTGTGGGCTGGATCTTTTGATCGCCGTGTTTTGTATGGTTTTTTGAATTAATGCCAAAATTTCTTGATTCAAAAAAAATTATAATTATTTTTTTAATAATATAAATAATAATATTACATGTTTTAAAATAAATAGTTAAATATATAATTGGTGGAAACTAAAAGTTAGTGAATTAAATGTTATGTCATAGTCATTTCAATACAAATTTTTTATAATCATCGTTAATTATAAAAAATATAACTATTAAAAACCTGCATTAAAGATAATTTAATATGATATGGTAGATCGATAAATTCTTGTGTGACTTTTATTTCCAGAATGCCCCACTTTGAAACACTAAATACCATAATATCCCATTCTGAAAATTAATTACACAGGTGCCCTATTTTCAGTATGGGCTCGTCCACCCAGCGGACAAGTATGTGCAGCGTTAATGGGCCATGAGTGAGCTTGTCCACCCGTGTGAAGATGTGTAATTTTTTTTAATTTTTTTTTGTTTTATTTATTTAATGATTTATTAAATATATTTTAAATATTATAATTAATAATTAATAATTAATAGTTTAATAATATATTTTAATAATTTAATAAATATATTTTAAATAAATACTATATTTTTAATAATTTAATAAATATATTTTAAAAATAATTAATGATATGATTTACTAATTTAGTAAATATATTTTAAAAATAAATACTATATTTTTAATAATTTAATAAAAAAAACTCCTGAATTTCTATGTATAATCAAAATAATTGATGATATGATTTGACATAAGTCAGTCATAATTAAACCGTAGATCATACTGAAGCAATGGATAGACATGTTAATAGAGTCGATTTCGGCAACTAAAACAGAAAAGCCATTGTGTTTTCGTGTTTATATATCACTCTCACCCACGCTCCTTCCATTTCTCCCATATATCCTTCTCCAATGGCTTCTTCAAGTTTAAACGCAGAAGCTTCCGAATTTCACCCTAGCAACCAAGTGCAAAAACTTCACCCTCCATACCTCACTCTCGCTCCTCTCACACATCAGCCTTCTTACCCTTTTCTCTATTACTATCCCGCTGCCACAAAACATCATTTTCACTCGTCAACTTACTTTTCCTTTCGCGTTCACCCAAACCTCACCACCGCAACTCCTACGTTTCCGCCATCTAGCGATTTGAAAAAGGTAATAGCGGTGGAGGCGGCATCTACAGAGGGTAGTGATTCCAAACAGGTTTTAAGGGATGGAGTAATGGAAGACCGTCGTTCTTATGGATTGAGAATCCCAAAGCTTGAGTGGAGGAAGAAGGGAATAGATGTTGCTGAAAAAGAACCTGAACTTAAGAACGAGAGTTCGAGAAAGAATCATCACAGAAAGCATGTTAATATTCATCAACAACTACACTCTAGGGCTTCCACCGACCGGAAAAATAAAGGAAGTAGTTTTCCTGTGGTTCCAGTTCGCCATGATGGAGATGAAACGACTGTTATGATCAAAAACATTCCTAGCAAATACACGTATGCTTCTTACTTCCTTCAAACTCGTTTGACTTTAGTATATTATTAAATCCTAAATCTATTATTAGTTGATAATTTATTTGCATTTGCTTCGTATGGTTTACTGTCACACAGTCGAGACATGATAGTGAAGTTTTTGGAGAACCATTGCAAGGTTGAAAACGCAAAAGATCAAGAAAATGGAGTAGAAAACACTTTCTCCTTTGATTTTGTCTACTTACCGATAGATTTTCGGTAAGCTACCAAATTGCTTCTCTAGAACTTTCATTGTTCATACACCTCTTACTAATAATGAAAATGAAACTACATGATTGCAGAACTGGGCTGAACAAAGGTTATGCATTTGTAAATTTCACTAAGGCTAGTGCAGCTTGGAGATTTGTTCAGACAGCATCAAATCAGAAATGGGAATTGTTCCTTTCCCATAAGATACGTGATGTGGTTGCCGCACGCCTCCAGGTAGGGTTTGCATACTAGACTTAATCATTATACTCTAATAAACTTTTCTATATGTTTGCCATCATTATTTTACTGTAATTTACTGAACTTTTTTTCATTTCAATTTTTGTAGGGAAAGGAGAAACTTGAGAAACACTTCGTAAGTGTGAATTTTCCCTGTGAGTCCGAGGAAGTTCTGCCACTGTGCTTTAGTCCACCTCGGGATGGTGTAATCAAAGGAACCCAAAGGACACTGGGGAGGCTTCTCTATAAGCTTTAGTAGTTCTGTGTTGTTGTATATGTATTGTAGTTTGGTTTAAATAGGGTATGAACTTGATCAGATAAGTACTTGTTGAGTGTAATTGTCCATTCCACGATATAGTTGGGTGGAGCTTGGCCACTTTATCCCTTCCATGGGAGGGTTGTGTGGTGGGGTCCACCCTTCTTGTGGATAACTAGCCAGCTAGGAAGGTTTGGTTCACTTCAATCTATCAATCTTTTCTCTGCTGTTTGTGTTTTGTAGTGAAATGAAGTTGGATATGGTGTTTGATTGTACTTGGTAGTGTTTATAGCTTTTTCGCCCTACTATACTATGTACTACTACTACTAGTAATGCTTAACTTGGGGGAATATAAGTCTATATATAATATTGTCTTATGTCATGTTTGCTTGTGCTTTTTTGGATATGTCGCCGTTGTATGTCCCATCAAAACAAAATTTACACAAATTTGTGATACATAGTTTGGTCAGCGCCTGAATGTAGGGCATGTACATTATACCCATCAAGTCAAAGTGAGTTTTTTATGGGTTTCTACTAGCTATGCATTGTGTTGTTTGTTTCAAAGATTACAATTTTGTTTGGTCAAAAGATTTATTTACCCTTTTGAAGCATTTCAGAATAATGCTTAGTTAGAATTGGTCTGAAATGGTGCAACATTCTTTGGAACATTTGGGAAGTAGCGTTTGATTGTTTTGTTTTTATACTCCTCAATTCATGGATCTATGAAAACTTTTAACTTTTTATCAAAAGTTACTGACTTTTATTGTTCATTAGCAAAAAAGTAGCAGAGTACTTGCCATTTGAGATGCTGATATGAGATTGGCAACCCAACCCTAGTTTCCTTCAAAAACCTATGAATTTTAATGTTACAAACCTATTATCCTATGAACTTGTTCTTGTAGATTTACATGTTACAAACTTTTCAACCATCTGGATCGGCCTTTTCTGCTGTAACTCTAAGTATGTACTAGTATTTTATTGCACTTGTGTTAAAAAAAGAGAGCTATAATTAGAATATTTAATTTTAATGTAGTTTGTGATGGGAGAGATTACAAACTTATACTTCCGAATAAACTTTTTTACCTTAAAAAAATAAAATAAAAGAAATACAATATTAACGTGGAAATCATGTCACTATGGCAAAAATCACATCAATCAAATTGTAGATAAAACACGTCGCTGGAGCACCCGTGACAATATTTGTCACATGAATATCATGTCATTAATTAATGACATAGAATTCACGTCGCAACATACAAAAATATTGAACTTTGTTCTCACGTGAATATCACGTCACTAATGTAGTGACATGGAATTCACATCACAAAAGTCTCGTGACAACATTTGCCACATGAATATCACGTCACTAATTAGTGACATGAAAGGACGTCGAAACAAAACAAAAATATTGAACTTTGTTACTAGGTGAATATCACGTCACTAATGTAGTGACATAAAATTCGTATCACAAAAGTCTAAACTATAAAATTTAGTGACGTGAATATCATGCCACTGATGAACTTTATTTTCAAATCTGGCAGCCACATGATATTTATTTCGCAGGTTAATTATTTAATAAAAAAATTAAAATATTGTAATTTAAAAATATACAAAAGTTATTCACGCTACAAAAATAATAAAATGCAAAAATCAAAATAATTTTCGATTAAAAAAGTCAAATTTTCTAATAATCATAATCATTAAAAAATATTAAAAAAATTAAAATATTGTAATTTAAAAATATACAAAAGTTATTCACGCTACAAAAATAAAAAAATGCAAAAATCAAAATAATTTTCGATTAAAAAAGTCAAATTTTCTAATAATCATAATCATTAAAAAATATAAAAGTATTAGTCATAGAATATTCATGCCACAAATATAAATAGTAATAAAAAAAATTATTCATTGTCATTACTATTATATCTTCTTCGTCTTCATCTTCCTGGACAAGACGGTTCGATTGTGAGGCAAAAAATTATCGCATTTGCTCTTTCATCTAAGATTACCTCTTCTTCATTTTCTCAATTTCGACCTTTAGCGCCGCCTCACGTGCCTTTCTCTCGCGTCTCACCTATGCCTCGCGTGCCTCTGTCTCGCGTCTCGCCTCAGTTAGAGCCAGTTGTCTCACTGTCTCCATCATTTCAGGTGTCAATTCTGGGGAACGAGATGTTCCCCATCTTCAAGTCTTTGAAATAAAATTCTATCCCCTTTTCTGTAGTCGGCAACCAAAGATCCAAGACCATAGAAACACCCATTATTTCCCTTTCCGTCAGCTGATAAACCCCAAGTATAAACATCTGCATGTGGATCAAGCAGTTCATTCCCGATCGAAGTATACTGAGGATTATCAACTAGAAATTGGGCGAGCAGTTTCCGATACACCTCCTACAAATCTGAAAAAATTAATAATTGAAATTGCACAAATATCTCAATGAAGCAACCACAAAACTTGAACAATAATTTAAGATCTAGATGAGTTCTTGAATCTTCCAAATATTATTCCTTAAACAACAAACATTATAAATTTAAAATAAATAAAAAATATTAATTAAAATTTTAAAACAGAAATTTAAAAAAAATTGTAGAAAAAATAAAAAGAAATAAATGAATACCTTTGATGCAAAATGAGAATAGAAATACAGCTTGCAATGAAGAGAGAATTTGGAAGTGAAGAAAGGGTTGGCAGTGAAGAGGGAGAGAGGCTTAACGCATGAAAGAAGAAGGGAAGGCAACAACTAAGACAATGAAGAGGATCTGTTGGGAAATGGATATGGACTAAATATGTAGGAGGTTGCGACGTGTGATACACCTCACAAGATAGCCACGTGATTCCCACGTCGAAAAAAGCAACGATAAAAAACATTTATTACATATCTGTATGTGGAATTCCTTGCAACATCCAATTCCTTTTTTTATTTTATAATTTAATTAGAGACGGAGATTCCACATGGAAAACTACCCATGTGTTTCTCACGTCGCAACTTTAAAACAATAAAAGCTAATATTATTTCTGAATTTAATTAGCGACGGAGATTCTGTGTGGAAAACTATCTATGTGTTTCTCACGTCGCAATTTTAAAAAATTAAAAACAAGTATGCAGTTTCACGTTTCTAATCTTTTTTTATTTATTTTTGAATTTCATTAGCGGCGTGGAAACCACGTGGAAAAGTAGCCACGTGTTTCCCACGTCGTAACACTTTAACGTTCAAAATATTATCAGGCCCATCAATTCATAGTCATGGTCATGTTTCCCAATATTTTTTTTTAATTTTGAATTTTATTAGCGACGTGATTCCCACGTAGGAACCTACCCATGTGTCAGACTATCATTTCAATATCACACTTGCTAATTTTTTTAAATATTTTATTTACATAGCGATGTGAATTCCAAGCCACTACTTAAATTCTGAAAAAATTTGAAATTTCTCCCCACTTGAAAGCGTAACACCCTTTTTTTCCACATGTATATCACGTCACTAAATCACATGGGTAATGACCACTTTTGTTGTGTGTGTGTGTGTACACAGACACACACACACACACCACCAACAACAAAAGTGGTCATTACCTATGTGATTTAGTGACGTGATATACATGTGTGTGTGTGTGTATATATATATATATATATATATATATATATATATATATATATATATATATATATATATATATATATATATATATATATATATATATATATATATATATATATATATATATATATATATATATATTTCAAAGTTAAATATGTTGGAATTAAACCATAATCTTAAAGATAATCTGAATCAATATTTTTTATTAATCACGTCTATTGTTTTACGCCCTTTACTTATCTGAATTATTCACACATTGGTTACAAGATGATTCTACTTTGCACACTGTTAGTTGGGATTTCGATGCACATGAAGATTTGACAAAAGCTAGTAGAGTTTGAAGAGTTGTTCTGAAAAGAATATATTGTTTTTGATAAGAAAGTGTTGAAAACGTAGTCAAAGATACTCTTGCATAAAGGACACTACGGTCTAGGACTTAGAAATATTTGGATTTAGATTTGAGTTCGACAAAGGTGTTTGGAGTAGCGTTTTACGGATATAATTCATAATAAGGTTGATAACTGTTTTTTTGGTCTTATCTGTTTTTCAAGACACATGGAAAGCTTTGAGCAGCGAAATGCATGCAAATTGAAGATGTGGAATCTTCTGGAGAAAACACCGTTGAATAGCAGTTATTTTCGAGTTATTATAAATAGAACACTTAGCAGTTAAGAGAGAGATGTTCAACCTTGTACAAAAAACTCTAAATTTTACTTAAAGTAATGTGCGCGAGAAACGAGTGTTGTTGAGTGAAAATGTACGTGTGAATACTATACTTTACACTTTTTACCAGATTAGTTAAGATTCTTCTTGTCACTTACATTTGCTGCAATATACTTTAAAGTCAATTTTGACATTTAAGATTTTGTCATTTATTTTGAAGTCATTTACTTTATAATCTATACTTCTGCGTTTCTTTAAAAAATTGTAACACTTCCTTAATAACTTTAAAGAATATTGTCAAACTAATCATAATTAACAAACCCAGAAACTAAATAACAACACATGTCCTAGGATCAATCTAGTCAATCCTGTAAGTAACCAAAGATTTAACAAATTTGAAAGACTAGCGTTTGTTCACCAATTTTGAAGTAAACAAATTGGCGCATCCAGTGGGACTGACGCTGTTAGTTAGAATTTCTGAAAAATATTTAGAAGTTCTTCATTTCTAGTTTCCTTTAACTTCACTGTATGAGATTAAGAAGTGGTAAAATAACCACTAGTAACGAAGCAATACCAAAGAGACGCATAACGATGGTGAATTCGTCGAATAATAATGGAGAACAACCCCCTCTTTCAACAGTGGAAACTACGGTCACAACATCTGTGTCCGAAGTAATTACATTCATAGCAAGTACGACGACCATACCGTTGAATGCTTACACTAGAACAATTTTGTCACC